TTATGACTTCTATCTATTGCTGGACAAGAAACCGCGTTACAGTCCCCACCTATCAAGACACAATCAAACGCTATGGAATCAATAATTTGGCCTATCGTATCCCAAAATCTATTATCTGGGATATTTGGGGCATATATATTCATTAAATGAAGCTTACGGGTGCCCATTATTCCAGACACTAAGATATATCTTCCTTCTTTATCCTGAATGGAATTTAAGACCTTAAACTGACATCTTTTATGGAACAAAATAGCTACTCCATTATGTTTTTGAATAGCATTCCAACAGTACGCTCTATCATACCATTTATCTGTCAAGGATAATATATGAGATCTGTTAAGATGAGTTTCTTGCAAAAAAAACTATGTCCGCCTGCTTTCTCTTTAATTCCTTAAACATTATCTTCCTTTTAGCAGGTGAATTAAGGCCTTTTACATTTAAGGAAATTATCTTCTCATCCATCATAATTCAACACCAATACAAGCAGATGTTTTGACCCAATAAAATAAATGAACCATATTAGCATATTGTATACCAAAACATGAAAATGAGGGGAGGAAGAGAAGAAAAAAAACAAAAAAAAACAAACAAACACAACCATATATACATATATACACAATGAACACCTCCTGGACTTACCCAATGCCAGGAGTTAATTAGGGGGCACAGTTTTCCCAGGTCTACTTCGGCCTTGGGATAAACTGCAACTACTCCCATCAACCTGAAACCTAGATTTTTAAACTAATACTAGCAACCTGATTTTTCTTAACATAACATGGGTCCTCTTACACTTCCCTAAATGCCTCCTTAACACATATGAGCTGTCCTCGGACCCTATACAAAACCATTCAAAAACCAAAAAACTCCATATTATCCTATAATACAACATTTTTACTGCTGAATTACTATTGAGATTTTATTTTTTATTTTTAGGTTATTTATATTTAGGTTAATCTATAATTTTTTTTTATTTTTTTTTTATTTATTTTTTTTTGGGGGGGAAGTGGGATATAATGTGATATACTGATGGTGATTGTGAAGGGGAGAATAAGGAAGTGAAGGGATTAAGTTATTGCATATTGGTATATATGGAATAGTATAGTAAGGCATATATGAGAAGAAATAAGCATATTATATAGGTGTATGTATTTTATAAATGATGCGTTTGATAAAAATAAAAAATTAAATCTCAATAGGAGCCGAAGTCTTTAACTACACGAATGGGCTAGCTATCTGGGTTAACACATTCACATAAAGTCTGGTCCATAGTCCAAAGGCAAGAGGCGGGCAAGCAGCCCCCTCCAAGGACACGTGGTGAGGCCGGTTTCGCCACAAACACTTCCACCTAACTCCCGAACCCCTGGTCCGATCTGGGTGATTTTTAAATATGTTGTTCACCCAGATCAAATTTAGGGGTCTATTTGGTATATTTGGGGTACATCCAAGAACAGGGGAAACCCATGTACTGTATTATTGAATTATCTGTTAAGCTGAAGGGAGGAGATGTGTGGGAGGTAACGTGTAAATGATTGGCTACTGTACTAATTACTGTGGGTGTCTCCCTTGCATGGGAAAAATGCTTAAAAGCTGAGTATGTGTGTCGTCCAGTTATTGGAAATTGTGATGGGATATTACTAGATTAATTTATTATCATTGATGCTGTTTATCCTGGTTAACTTCTTGTTCCTGCTTCACTGTTCTAATACCAGCGGAGAACTCTATGGGAAACTAGGTCTCTACTACAATCTATTTTCCACTTTGCCTACTTTTTGCTCAGGAGTGTGGCTTCCCTAGTTGTTTAATGGGAATATGGCTGTGCTTTGTGTGGGCTGTGAGCTGCTGTCATCACAGAGCAGACAGGAAGTTCAGTAATGGGCTCAGTTCTTTCAAAGTTCTGCAATGACGTCTGGTTAGGGGCTCAATGCTTGACTGTGCAACTTACAGGAGGACTAGGTGTAACCCTGATGGAGCCCGTGAGTACAGGCAGCAGTTCACAAGGTAAAGCGAAGTTATGTACTGCTTGCTACTGCTATAATGTAACATCCCCATTAATACATAAATGCCACAAATCAATACTGAGCAAAACATAGAGCTCTGAGCTGTAATTTGTGGCATAAAGAAAGCTCTAATAGGCAATTGTATCAGTTATATTGATCATAATGCAGAGTTGGGGTTAAATTAACTTTACTAATGGTAAATCTATATAATAGATATATTTTTTAATCAAACAGCAAGATTATTATGGTTTGGTAGAGTTTTGCCATGTCTAAGTGATTGTCAGTTATAGTTAGTGATGTATGCATAGATTTATTTGTTGCTTACTATTGATCTCAACATAAAAAATAAGTTATCTGCCTTATACACCAACGGGTATATTGTAACTTGGGACAGTGATTGAGCGATCAAAAAACAACTAGTAGATTTCAAAGTTTGTTTCAAGCCAAACTGCAGTTTTGGGCAAGTTTATTGGCTGAAATTCTGATTTCTGCTCCGCCATGTGCCCCAATCTCAGGGGTATCGACTCGTGCAAACCCGGTCATGCTTACTTCAGTTCTAGACATTAAAAGATGATTGGGAGATAGCCAATAAATGTTGAGTTTTCAGTTGATCAAATGACAACTGACCAATAGTGGGAAAAAGAAGGAGATGTAAACCAATTTATACTTCTAAGCAGGTTTTTTCCAGACACCTTGACTGTAACGATTGGGGAAGACTGTGTATTTTACCCTTGCTGTGTCTGTGTGAGAGTGGGAGATTGCCTGAATTAATAATAAATCTAGTGTCATACTAGGTTTAGCTTGCTGCTATATCTAGCTAGATAGTTATTGACAGGGGCACTTGAAACAACTTTGAATTGGAGATAGGAGATTGCCATGTTGTCATTGATTCTAGTGTGAGACTAGGTTTAGCTTGCAGCCAGGGACACTTAAAACCACTTTGAGTGTGAGATAGACGATTGAGAATTTGTCATTGATCTTAGTGTAATAAACACAACCTATTGTTGTGTTAGGGTTACACAATATACAATAATTTATATACCAAATTTATTGTAATAAGAAAAACAAACACACAATCATTAATGTCATATACTAATCACAAAATTAAATTGAGGGAGGGTTGGGACAGAGGTCATGTTTCCCACTCCACCATCAGCAGTAGTGCCATGGCTTTTGAGAGTTTGAAGACCTAAATCATGGAAACTGTTGACACGGCTGCCACCACTGCCTGCACCTACCGCCACTGCTTTCACCACTATTACCAACATTATTAGTACTATTCAACCTCAGAATAGTAGTATTGTCAGAATGTGCTGCCACTTCTATTGAAACTGTAGCTTCTTCTACCACAGCTAGTTCAACTGTTATACCATCTTGGTGCCACCCATGAGCTATATAAATAAGGTTTACGTTTATGTAAGCCGTAAAAGAAAACGTAGAAACTTAGGTTTATTTAGAAAAGTACAATATAAAAAAGGTACCTGACACTGTCCTAACGCTTGTAGGGCTGCAAAGTAAACAAAAGAGCTAATTATTTTAAGGAGACATGCATATTAAGAAATGTTTGGTAATGGGACTGAAATGGTGAATGTATGCTGTTGCACAACTGTAAAAAACAAATGATGTAGGAAAGCATTGGGAGGCTATTGTGCATGTGTGCCAAAAAAGCTGCACGGCTAATCAACATCTTCATGGGGAGCATTCAACGCCTTCATGCAAACCTAATCTAATACACTGATGGGGGGCAGCAGCCTATAGATTTTTTTGGGGGGCAGCAGCTCATAGATTTTAGCAGCAGCCTATAGATTTTAAAGGCAGCCTATAGATTTTGGGCATCAGCCTATAGATTTTTGGGGCAGCAGCCTATAGATTTTGAGTGCGTTAAGCCTATAGATCAGGCAGCAGCCTGCGACGCAGCGCGTTTGCGTGATTTTGGGGGCATCAAATTTCATAGATTTTAAAGGCAGCAGCCTATAGATTTTGGGGGCAGCAGCAGCCTGGCAGATTTTAAAGGGCAGCCTGCGAGCCTAAAGTGCAGCCTGGCGATTTTGGGCAGCAGCCTGGCAGATTTCAGCAGCAGCCTGGTAGATTTTAAAGGCAGCCTATGATTTTTAAAGGCAGCCTGGTGGGGATTTGTGTTGCAGCCTATAGATTTTTTGGGGCAGCAGCCTATAGATTAGGAGTGAGGCATGGGGGGCAGCCTATAGATTAGGGAAGTGAGCATAGGCGTGCGCAGCCTATTGCATTAGGGTGTGCACCCTAAAGCACAAACACACGCCATGTGTATATGTATGTGTGTGTGTGTGTGTATATATATATATACATATACACACACACTGCTGTGTGTGTGTGTGAGGGTGCTGTTAGTGTGCTGTGTGTGAGGGTGCGGTTTGTGAGGGAACTGGTAGTGTGCTGTGTGTGTGTGTGTGTGTGAGAGGGTGTTTGTGTGTGCGTGTTTGTTCGGGTCCTGTTAGTGTGCTGTTTGTGTGCGGGTGTTGTGTGTTTGTCAGGGTGCTGTTTGCATGAGAGTGTGCTGTTTGTGTGTGGGTGCTGTGCGAGTGTTGTGTGTGGGTTTTGTGTGTTTGTGAGGATGCTGTTAGTGTGCTGGGTGTGTGTGGGTGTTGTATGTGTGTGGGTGCTGTGTGTGCGAGGGTGATGTATGTGTGTAGGTGCTGTGTGTGTGTGCTGTTTGTGGGCTGTGTGTGCTGTATGTGTGTGTGCTGTATGTTTGGGTGGAGGTGGGGGCAGACTAGTTAATATCCCAGTCCTGCTGCCTTCCCTGGTGGTTCAGTGGAGAGTGAACTCTAGCCCGGGTTCTCTGCTGCCTCCCTCCATGCTGCTGTGGACCAGTGAGGTAGAACTTTGATCTCCCCACCGGCCCATGGAGGCTTAGACCAGAGCCGCCGCTCGGATAGCGTCGGCTCTGCATGAGCCGACCGGGGAGATCCAGAGATCTCTCCTGCCGGTCTCAATCCATTGGCGTGCCGCGGGGATTAGGGTGTGCCCAGGCACACCCAACACACCCCGTGCGCACGCCTATGGAAGTGAGGGATGGGGGAGACAGCCTACATGAAGAGTCAGCAAGGAGCAAGAAGGTAAAGTAAGAAAAGGAGAAGGAACAGAAATGAGCAGGAAGGGACATCAAGGAGCTGGAAGGGACAGCAAGGAGCACAAAAGGTAAAGTAGGAGAAGGAGCACAAAGGAACAGAAATGAACAGGAAGGGTCAGCAAGGAGCTGGAAGGTAAAGCAGCACAAAGGTAAAGTAGAAGGAGCAGAAAGGGTCAGAAATGAGCTGGAAGGGGCAGAAGGAGCACAAAGGTAAAGTAGGAGAATGAGCAGGAAGGGGCAGCGAGGAGCAGAAAGGGGCAGCGAGGAGCAGAAAGGGGCAGCAAGGAGCAGAAAGGGGCAGGAAGGAGCAGAAAGGGACAGCAAGGAGCACAAAGGTAAAGGAGCAGAAAGGGACAGCAAGGAGCACAAAGGTAAAGGAGCAGAAAGAATCAGAAGGAGCACAAAGGTAAAGTAGGAGAAAGAGCAGAAAGGGACAGCAAGGAGCACAAAGGTAAAGTAGAAAAGGGAGCAGAAAGGGACAGCAAGGAGCACAAAGGTAAAGTAGAAAAGGGAGCAGAAAGGGACAGCAAGGAGCAGAAAGGGATCAGAATGAGAAAGGAGCAGAAGGGCGCAAAATAAGCAGAAAGTAGCAGAAAGGTAAAAGAGCAGAAGGGGCCAAGGATAGAAAACAGTGTCAGAAGAAAAAAAAAGACTGCCAAATGAAGGAGAGGAAAAGGAGATTGGAGCAGGAAGGACAAATGAAGTGAACCTCCACTTTATTCTGGACACCACATCATAAGGCTTTGGTACCTGGGCCAGGCAGGGAAACGCTGGACCTTCTCATCTCCAAAGGTAAAAAAATATCAGTATTAATGTGTTCACTTTTATTTACTGAGTGTCAGGAAGCACAGAGTGCCGTTGGGTAGGGGTGTTGCTGATTGGCTAGAGCGGTCAGCTGGCACTCTAAGCCAATCAGTAGCTCCCCATTCATAAAAAAGTAAAAATATTTTATGAACCGGGAAGTAGCGATTGGCTTAGAGCGTCAACTGTCCACTCTAGCCAATCAGCGGCACCCATGCCTGACGTCAATCTGCACTTCCTGACACTCTGTTTCAGAAGCCAAATACCACTGAGCGACCTGGAGCTGGAGGAAGCCTTTGGGGTTAAACCATTTGAGAGCGATTTAACCCCTTAAAGGAAAGCGAGCACCCAGGAGCTTCCTGGCATCATAGCATTTTCATTTAGGTGAAGTTGTTATGGTGACCAGAATGGTCCTTTAATTTGCTTAAAGGAACACTATAGTGTCAGGAATGCAAACATATATTCCTGACACCATAGTTGTGAAAACGCTATTCACCCTGGCTTTATGTGATAATGGCTATGCCCCTTCCCTTTCATGACTCTGTCATAAAGGTACCAAGCATGGATGTCATTACAATTATGCCCCCCCCCCTGGAAAAATTCCTGTGGACGCCCATGGATACAGCTGTAGATCTACAAAAATAAAAGATAAAAAAAATAAAAGGGAGGGACAGGGGTCTTGTAGATAGGGCAGGGTCTTTGAGAATTGGGGTGCAGGGGTCTTGTAGAGGGGGGTGCAGGGGTTTTTGTAGAGGGGTGCAGGTTTTATTTAGAAGGGGGCAGGGTTTTTTGTAGAGGGGATAGGGGATTTGTAGAAGGGAGACTGGGCAGGGGTTTTCTAGAAGGGGGATTTGTAGAAAGGGGACTGGGCAGGGGATTTGTAGAAGGGGGGATTTGTAGAAGGGGGACTGGGCAGGGGATTTGTAGAAGGGGGATTGGGCAGGGTTTTTGTAGAGGGGTGTGCAGAGATTTTGTAGAGGGGGTGCAAGATTTTTGTAGAGGGGGCAGGGGTTTTGTAGAAGGGGGGCCGGGCAGGGTTTTGTAGAAGACAGTTAAAAGAAAAAAATATTAGAAAACATGAAAAAAATTGTGGGTGTTTTTTCTTTTACATTTGAATGGGGGGAGGGAGTGGTGCCAAACAAAGGCTCTAGGTACGCACCTGGAAGGTGGAATTATTATCAAACTTATAACTTTTATCCCAAAAATGAACTGACTAGTCAAACTCATCTCGCTTTGATTTTAGTTCAGGTGCCTCTATGCTATTACTGAATAGGAGTACCAGATCTTGTTCTTGTTTTGAATACCACACCTCGGCTACATTTGACCTTGATATAGCTTGTTCCATGGAGTGCATTAGCCCTGACTTCTTCTTGACCTCAATTTCCAGTTATCCTGTACCAGCATTTATTATCTATTTAAATGCTATTTATTTCATTGTTCTCCTCCTGGTCTGAATAAACTATATTATATTAGTTCTATTGCTTCCCAATTTTTGCTTTGCGCTACGCCAGGCCATTCTAAGATCTGATAATATGCCTTACAATCTTTCCTCACTTTACCTTTTTTGGGATAGTTGCTTTGTATCTTGCTGGAGACCTAACATACCATAACATAGACATCATGATCCCACCATGTTTCATTTAGTGTTGGATGGTCGCATGCATACCTGCATGTGTTCACTGCCAACTTTTCTGAATGGTGGTGGGCATGAAAGACAGCATGCTGCACAGGGCATTGCACAGGGGGCAGGCCTAAATAGGGTGGCCAGTCTGACTGACAGCCGGCCCCTCAAGAGTGTTTGCTCAAGTTCTCTTTGCATGGTCTTAGTACCTAGTGCCGTCATGCAATTTGAAATCTGCTGGAAAAATTCAAAATGCAGGACAGGTTCTGAGAATTATTCTTGCTGGGATAATACCCCAAAGTGGGTCAGTGCAAATTTGGGATTGTTGGTACCTATGTTGCATGGAAAATGGTGTATAGTTATTACTTGGATAGATACATAATAGTGGACTAGACAATCAGGTACAGATTATTTAGATTTATTCTATTGGGTTTAATATGAACATAGCTAATCCTATGATTTTCAGCAGTGGACACTCATTTAGCAGATTGAGAAAAATAGCTCTATTATGTGTCAAGAATTGTACACTGTATTAGCCAGTAGGCAAGATCAATTAATTAATTTGCCAAAATAACAGCACAGTTTCAAACAGCACTTGATTATTTGTCTTAAGTTAATGTAAGTTTAATACAGACTGTGTCCAAAAACAAGCTCTCTACATAATGAGCTCTGAATTTATCAGAACTGTCCATTGTCAGAAATATTCCAGTAATAGCAATACATCCCAAGTCAGTGTGTTGCTAAGTGGTCAAACACCATCGATCGATATGTACACTGACCCTGGGACTCAGTTGCTTATTTTGAGATCACGTTCCAATACTTTTACACTAAATAATGGGACAAGGCAAGACTTCCCCTCTTACTATTCCTATTTGCATTAACTCTAGAGCCCCTCTTCTACCTCATCAGCTGCCATCCTAGTATAACTGGTATGACCACACTGAGCTCTAGATTTACAGTATAAATATATATTTTATTATTATATTATTTGTTGCTATTATTATTATTTATAAAATGCCAACAAATTCTTTAGTACTGTACATTGGCTGGACTAACAGACAAGCATGAGTTGGATGCACAAGAACAGAGGGAGTTTGGGATCCTGCTTAAAGCGGCACTGTCATGTCTAACTTACCTTTCCCTAATCGATTCCTCTTCTCTCCCTCCCTCAGGAACTGTTCTTCATTTCTTCCTGTCTGCTCTAGTTTTCATTAAAACTTAAGAAAAAGTAGGGACTATTTCTCTTATGGAGGTTTCCTACGCTGTGACCAGCGGTGACCAGCGGTGACCAGGGGAGAAGCAAAGTGTGCTTTGTTTCCGGTGGTCACAGCAATTTTCCCACAATCCTTACCTTTCCTCCCTGTTCCCGCGATGCTTCCTGTCACTTAGACAGGACGCCAGCAAAACTGCCGAATTGCGTTCTAACAGTTTCTCCATTCGTGTTAGAACGCAATTCGGGACTTTGTTCGTATTGGAATTCCATTCGAATGAATGACACTCCGAATCTATTCAATGCAGCCTTGTAAAATGACACAGAGCACTTTGATTGGTTAGATTCCAAGCCCACCAATCAGAGTGTTATGAGTGAAATTACACAGCTTTGGAAAATTCAAAAGAACTTTCCCACGCTGTGTAAAATGACACAGAGCACTGTGACTGGATGGATTTCAAGCCACCCAATCAGAGTGCTCTGTGTCATTTTACACAGCGTGGGAAAGTTCTTTGGAATTTTCCCACGCTGTGTAAAATGACAAAGAGCACTCTGGTTGGCTTAAACCAACCAATCAGAGTGCTCTGAGCCTAATTGCAGGACGGGGCAAGGCTTTATAAGCCTTCCCCCGCCCTGCAGAGCTCAGTGGACGCGGAGCCCTTCATGGGTGAAGAAGGATTATTTTTTTTGCGCTCAGGTTTTTTCTTTTGCGTCAGGTTATTTTTTGCGCTCAGGTTTTTTATTTTATTTTACGTTCGACGGGTATGATGGTTTTTTATTTGGCCTTTTTTGGGGCTGAAAAATTATGATTTTAGATAAAAAAGACATCAAATGGTAAGTTTAATTTTTCTTTTGAGGGAGGTAAGTAGGGGTAACTTTTTATTTGGGTGGGGGGGTGGGGGGGTGGGTGACTAGTGGCTTGGGGACGCCTAGTCACCTTTGATGGGGGGGATTTGTCTTATGGCCCCCACCCACCGCCCAGGGGTGGGGTTTGGGGGGGAGGACAGTAGGTCCCCCTTCCTAATTATCTTTATGGCTCCCACCCACCGCCCAGGGGTGGGGTCCGGGGGGAGGACAGTAGGTCAACCCCTCATTATATTTATGGCCCCCACCCGCCGCCCAGAGGTGGGGGCCAGGGGGCTCCCACCTGCCGCGCAGGGGTGGGGGCCGGATAGTAGGGGTTTTTGTTTAAACATTGACCCCCACAGAGTGAGGGAGGACATGGGGGGCTTAGGAAGTGTCAGGGAGCACTGCTCCCTGCTGCTTCTATAGTTACATATTACAAGGAGGGAGCTGCGCGCTGGTAGCTCCCTCCTTGTAATAAACTGAACGAAAAAACGAACACTGATATTTCATGTTTGTTTGTTCATCTGAAATTTCTAGTCATTCATTCGTCTTTCTGACGAATTAATGAATTGATGAAATTCCCGTTCGCATGCCCAAGTGTTTCACTGGGCATGTGCGGGAATCTTACAGGCTATCTAGTGTGGGCAGATGACGTGTCCCACAGGGACTTCATCTACCCACCCAAAGATGGCGCCCTGAATATAGATGGGGCAAACACATACTACATTCCCTGAACACACACTCTCTACAAACACTACATCACCTACACACACACACACACTATAGCCTGTATACACACACACTTGCTACATCCCCTATGTAGCGGAGGAGCAGGGGTTAATCCAAGGGCTCTCCGCTGGGAACAAAGATTCAGCATACAAAGTCACAGGAACACAGCATAATCCACCTCCCCAAGGACTAGACGACACATAGTCTGGGAGTCAACTGCCAGCTTTAATCACAGTTCTGCTTTTATGCATTTCTCCCATGCAAGGGAGGTTTCATAATTAGTACAGTAACCAATTGTAACCCGGTCACCTCCCCTCCCTCTCCTCCCCTTAGATTAGCTCTTAACCAGATTAGTGGGGACAAAGTTTTCCCCACTTTCTGGATATCCCCTAAATACAGGGGCAAATACAGGGGGTCCCCTGGTAGGTCTGATCTGGGTGAGCAACATACTCAAAATTCACCCAGATCGGACCAGGGGTTCGGGAGTTACAGGCTGTTAAAGATTTGACCGACCGCAGGGGCTCAGTAGCCGAAAACTGTTCCATGTATTCTGACCCTGCGGTCGGTCTATTTCAGTGAACCAAAAATACCGAACGGTTAGCCATCCGTATGATTGCTACCATTCGTATGATTCCCCTCGTTTAGGGGAATCTATCTACCGAATGCAGGGGAGTTCATGTGTTAGCTTCGTATTGTCGGAGCACGCTGGAGGTCTCAGCGGTGCTTGGTTAGTCGAATGCCCGGTTTGAGTTCCAGGCGTTCGACAACCAAGTACCGCTGTTCGTGCGTAAGATGGCCGCCACCACGTGTTCGTAGGTCGAATGGCGGCCACACATACAGGTACTTAATTCTCTTCGGAACAATGTATCATTCGGTTAATTGGAAACACACGACCACCCCGGGGTGGTCCTCCGTTCGGCAGTTTCATACATTCGAACAAACACATTACAATATTATTAAAGTCCATTCGTGTGGTTATTCCCTTGGTGAATTGTACCTATTCACTCAGAATAGGTAGTCCAAGTGACAGGGTTTGCCACACCCTAAACACACATTCTCTAAAGCCCCTAGCCACATATGCATTACATTACACCACAAACACAACACGACTAAAACCGACCTTATTACACAATACCACACCACGACCAGCTCACTCTGCACACACGCAATACCCCAAGCAGGCTCCAAACACATGCACAATACTCTTTCCTGGCCCTTTTGTCTCCTGGTATCCATTTATAGAGACACCAGAGACAAGTTGCAAGGAAACACAGTGCAAGCATGTTATTAAATTTGCTTGCACTGAGCAGAACAAATACAGGGCTTTTTTCTCATGCTAGAGCTCTTCAGCAGAGCTCTGTGCATGGTCTGCCCTGGAAGAGCATTGAACCAACATGCTCACTTTGAGAGGGGGCGTGTTTGTCATGAGTGATGACAAAACACACCCTCTCTGCCCCGCCCCCTTCTTAGTGGGCCGCTGTGATAAAAAAATGCCCGGGCCGAATTTTTTTCCCAGTCCGGCCCTGCCCCTATTTATACATGACAAAATCTTACTGGCTTTAGCAACTGCAGATTGACATTGCATATCGCTGCCTAATTTGTTGTCTATAACAATTCCCAAATCCTTCTTGTGTGTGGTTACCCCTAATTCACTACCATTTAGGGTATAAGTTGCTTGTGCATTCTTGACCCCGAAGTGCATTACTTTACATTTCTCTATGTTAAATTTCATCTGCCATTTTAGTGCCCAGTCCGCCAATCTATCCAAATTCCTCTGCAGCAAATCAATATCCTGCTCACATTTTATTACTTTACAAAGTTTTGTGTCATCTGCAAACACTGAAATGCCTATTTCAAGATCATTTATAAATATGTTAAATAGAAGCAGTCCCAAAACAGAACACTGAGGGACAACACTTACCACTTTTGTCCAGTCTGAAAATTTACCATTAATGACAACTCGTTGTACTCTATCCTTAAGCCAGTGTTCTACTTAAGAACAAGAATAACCATCTAGACCAATTTCTTTTAGTTTGAAGACTAACCTATTGTGAGGAACCGTATTAAATTCCTTGGCAAAATCCAAGTAGATCACATCCACTACAACACCCTAATCTATACTTCTACTTACTTCTTTGTAGAATGCAATTAGGTTAGTTTGACATGACCTATGTTTCATAAAACTATGTTGATTATTGCTAATATAGAGACACCATTCCCAATGAATTCCTGAATATTATCTCTTAATAGCCCTTCAAATATTTTCCCAGTCACAGAAGTTAAGCTCACAGATCTATAATTTCCAGGCAAGAATTTTGAACCCTTTTTAAATATAGGAATGACATCTGCCTTCCTCCAATCTTCCGTTACAATACCTCCGTTACAATACCTGAAACAAAAGTATCTTGAAAAATTAAATACAGAGGTTCACTTATTTCCCCACTTAGCTCCTTAAGTACTTGTGGGTGAATACCGTCAGGCCCCAGAGCTTTATTTACATTAATTTTCTTTAATAGCTGTAGCACCTTGTCTCAAGTTATCCGATCACAAGTTATCTGCAAGTTTTTTTAGCAATCATTTGCATATCTCTTGCCATAGGCTCCTCATTAATGTATATTGAAGAAAAATAGTTATTTAAAATTTCTGCCTTTTCCTGGTCTTCATTAGCTAACAGACCCATTTCTGTTTCCAGTGTACCTACACTTTTGGGGGGTGGTTTTGCTTTTTTGGCTATCAATTTCTAATTTTCTAGTTTAGCCACTTTATTTACCTTTTTGCAAGCATTATTGGCTTCCTTACAGGGCCAGACTGGGAAAAAAATTCGGCCCGGGCATTTTTCAATCAGAGCGGCCCCCTTAGAAGGGGGCGGGGCCAGAGAGTGTGTGTTTTGTCATCACTAATGACAAGCACGCCCCCTCTCAAAGTGAGCATGTTGGTTCAATGCCCAGAGCCCTGCTGAAGAGCTCTGGCATTAGAAAAAGGCCCTGAATTTGTTCTGCGCAGCGCAAGGAAATTTAATAACATGCTTGCGCTGTGTTTGCTTTTAAATTGTCTCTGGTGTCTCCACAAGTGGGATACCAGAGGACAAAAGGGTCAGGATAGTGCATGGTGCATATGTTTGGAGCCTGCTTGTGGGATTGCGTGTGTGTAGAGTGTGGTGTGGTATTGTGTAAATAGGTCAATTTCATTTGTGTTTGTGGTGTAATATGTGTGGCTAGGGGCTGTAGAGAGTGTGTGTATAGGGGGTATAGTTTTATAGGGGATGCAGCGAGTGTGTGCATACGGGCTGAAGTGTGTGTGTATAGGTGACGTAGTGTGTGTAGGGGTTGCAGAGAGGGTGTGTTTAGAGAATGTTGTATGTGTTTGCTGACAAGGAATGTAGTGTGTGTATGTAGGAGATCTACTGTGTAAAGGACCCAGTGTGTGTGTGTGTGTGTGTGTAGAGGATTAAGAGTGCATATAGGGTAAGGGATCTAGTGTGTATCTGGAGTGTAATGTGTGTAGTGGTGCAGTGTGAGGGGTGCTGTAGTGTGTGTGTGTGTATATATATATATATATATATATATATATATATTGTGACAGAAAGCAAGGAATTGTGCTGGAAGGAACCTATATACCTCCCCAGATTTTGCAAGGTTCTTACTTTGTGTAATTAGCCCCAGGGAAATGTGTTATGTTCTAATGAATGTTGCACTTTAAATATGTGTATGTTTGGGCCCTGGGGTGGAGCACCTGGAGAGTAGGGTGGGCCAGTGCTCCACTCCACATTTTGGAAGTTGCTTGGTGAGAAGTCCAGTTCTGGAGTTTGAATCCTAATCTAACTCACCTGAAAAGGATTGTCAATTACCAGTGCTATAAAGTACTCCCCTGCCAAAGAAGAAGGGAGATTGTGTTTGGTTTCTGTGAGTGGAAACAGAGAGCTGAAAACCCTGAAGCAGTAAGGCTGTTTATGTTTATGTTGGGAAATGGACAAGCCATCCAACCCAGTTAGCTGATTATTTTGTTTAGTTAGTGCTCAGAAGAGCAAGGCTTTTGTTTGATATATTTGTTACCTTTTATACCTTACTGTGCATTTATTTTGGAACCTCAATAAAAGAGCAAGTCAGTTTACCTCATCCAGCGTGTGAAGTGTCTCTAAAGCCTGAAAAGACTGTGTGTAACACCCCAATCCCAGGACAAGGTACCAAGGGAAAGGAGTACTTTTGTCACAATATATATATATATATATATATATATATATATATATATATATATATATATATATATACACATTTGGACTTGTATGTGTGAGGGGCGCAGTGTGTGTATGTAAGAGGGGTGCTGTATGTGAGGGTGTTTTTATCTGCTGGCAAATTCTAGGTTTTTAATTTTCTTTGTCTGTTAACTCACTGAGGGTTATTTTATATATATATATATATATATATATGTGTGTGTGTGTGTGTGTGTGTGCTGTATATGTGTGGAAGTGTGCTGTGTGTGTGAGTGAGGGTGCTGTGTGTGTCTGGGTGCTGTGTGTGTCTGGG